ATGTATCACGAATGTAACAACTGCGAAGTTAACCGGATCAAGCGCTACGGGTACGCACCTTTACGCAGCGTATTAGAAGACAAGCCGTGGCGCCGGGTTATCATTGATTTGGTTGAGCTACCCACGTCCGAACACACGAAGGATAAATATGTCTGTCACGTGTTTGATGTCGCACCAAGATATAATATATTGTATCCGCAGAAAGATAAATCGACACAAACTGTGGCTGAGTGCATATATAAGTGCTTCGCAGAGACGTTTACGTTAATAAGACAATACGTTAAACCGTTAAAATGTAAAATGATAAAAGTAAGTTTAGCTTCAGCCCTTGGTAGTGAGCAAAAGATTAGAGGATTTTAGACTGAGACTATTGTCTATATGATCCGTTCTAATCACTCACTACTTCGGTCTAGATTTATTTATGTTTTAGTTACTAAGACTAGATATCATTTCATTGGACGCTTATTTTACATTTCACGCCTCGAAACAATTATCTACTCAAAATAACCAATAAAATATCTCTAAGTCCAACTTAAGAAAATAAAAAATAAATTCAAAACACCAAGCTGGTGCAGTATATATCTGCACCTAAACCCCATCACTTGATACCTAGCTCTCCATCCCATTTAAGGCATAGACGGGCATATCCAGTTGGCTGGCTAGGAGGAATCAAAACCAGGTTGTCCTAAATTCTAACAACTCTGATCCTGTCCTTTTCTCAGTGGATTATCTTGCTTTGAGATTATTATCGAATTATACCATAGGTTTGTACCAACAACCATTTCATGCCTGAGACCCTCTCTCATGGTACTCCCGTTAATTAGAGATTCCCAAAGTGTCACTTTCAGGTGTCAGATTTGTATCATTCCTATATTATGTACAATTCTAATTTCAGTGGGAAAAAACCAATCTATATTTGGAAAACCACCTCATTGTTTACAGTAGAGTCACATACTCTATTGAGTACTATCACATGTTCAGAATCTTGAATATCTCAATTCTTGGGTTAAACGTATTCCAGTGTTACAAGTATACGCGTTATTACGTTATTACGGTTATAATATACGTTAACTGTGCAACTACTGTTAGGAATCCGCAATTTTTTACATACGCTAGTAGTAGATTTGTCTACTCTTTTTGTGGCGCTTCTCGCAATGCATTTATGTGTACGTAAGAAAGAGGATTATACTGTTCACGAACATGTGCGCACAGTAGGTCTCTACTCATTTCAGTATACCCTCTAATCAGCTCTGTAAACGGTTGGTTTGCATTTACCTTTTTTCCTTTGGATCGCTTGATCCAGGTATTTACACTATCTGTAGAGCCAGTTGATCCCAACTCTACTAATCTCTCCAATACCGCTCTGACGTGCACGCAGTCCACATGGTTGTGGCTAAGCCCAAACTCTTTTAACTTAGCAGCCGTCAAACCAATTGGAAAGGTACAAAAGCAATCACCGACTGTTGTTACCACTTTGTCACCCGTCTCAGGATCCTTGCCCACAAGTAGCACACAAATCACATTTAGAAGCCCTTGACGCATAGACCGTGACACCTCAATTGCATCTTTCTCTTTTCCTCGTTCAAAGCATCTTTAAATGTGTAAGTCAAGTTAACCAGCCTCCGAGCTTGCTGCTCCCCCGCTCTCTGAGTATATCCTGTAGGACCAAAATATTGCTTCATTAGTTTTGTTGAAATGGAGACTTTGCTAATCACGTTCTGATCATATGGAAGGAATTCACACTTGTCGAATCGTTCTCTCACATCTTCCTCAAGCTTGATACGTGACGCTAGTAAAGCTTTCGGCGTTTCGGGGACTATTTCCTTCTTAACCACCGCCTTACGTGCCAACATGTTGTATCTCATGTAATCAACCATCATGACCTTTGATTTGTAAGCTTTTGGAATCACGATAGACCGCTCACGTACAAATTGCCGCTTTCCACGCCGCAAAGTTAATTATGTCTTTTTCAAACTCGATATTTTGTCACCCCAGACAAGAGCCCACGGGAAAGCAGTTAAATCGTACATACCCCGTACCCATTTATGAACTTGATCAAGAGTCATCGCATAAATCGGCGACGATGTTTTCGTGTGTATTTGGTCTTGTGTAAGTTGTAGCAATTCGAGTTTTCGCTGATGTACCTTGTTAGGGAAAGGCACTAAAGTCTCACTAAACGTACTATACACAGGTTGCACAAAAATCATCAACTTAGTCTGCGTGATTTTATTCAAATCAGCTTCTATAAGAGTTTTGTTACCGTTGTGTATCATATCTAAACCTTTCAATACGCTAGCATCATGTGGCGAAGCTTCCAGCATATTACAAAGTCATCGTGGCTGGATGCCAGTGTTGCTACGGTAATCAGTCTTCATTAATAGCGCAGCAATTAAATTAAGCTATCAAACCCAATCGCGCACGATGTCGTAAGAAAGACTCTCTGATTATGCGTGAGATTCTTTGTGGGGTCGTCCAAAATAGATTGTACATCAACAGATGTACACATTGATCTGAACAATACTTTTGCTGATCTGACACGCCATCTATTATCAATCACAAGATTATCACACTCCAGTACGATATAATCTGTGTCATACGCTATATTCCAGTCGACCGCACCCTCAGCTTTTAAAGCTGCAATATGTTGCTCGGCCTCTTGAGGCGCGACTATAAAGTATGTCTCTAAGTCATTGCATAATAGCATAAGCATCTGCGCACTTTCGATATTGTATGCACCTACAGCACCCTTGCAAGTTGTGTACTCGTCGAAGTGTTTTTTTAATCAACCAGGCTGGACTCGTATTCATGCACACGCTGTAAGTATTTCTTGCGACTGTCCGATCGCGAAGCGTTTGCAAGTTTCTCTCGTACTCTAAAACCGTCAAAGACAGGGAGCACTAGGGCCCTTCCATTATTGTAATAAGCCGGGCCTCCACATTAGACTCTATGTTATAAACGTACTCTTAAGCAGTACATAAATTACAAACGTACTCTTAATAGTACGAGGAACTTAAGTTTCCTAAATGTACTCTTAATAGTACGAGGAACTTAAGTTTCCTAAATGTACTCTTAATAGCACGAGGAACTCAAGTTTCCAAAAATGGCTTTTAATGGTTTTATTAATTAATACCTTTTCCATTTTACATATCAGATATTTGGACGAGGCCATTAAAAGGCCTCAGTAAAATACCAAACATAAAGAGTTGGTCTAGTTCTATTAATATAACTTTATTTACTTTCCAACTTTATTTATATCTGAATACTTCGGTAGCGAGATGGTTCAACCGAATATAGGTTTCTAGGGACTATTAACGTTACCTAGTTGATCCTCCGATCAGCCAACCAGATGTGCCAGTCTGATGAAGGCTAAGTTGGTAATTCTTGATAGTGGCAAGTTATTGGTTAAGACAATAACTAAGGACATCAATTTTTATTTTTAGTTATTTATTTATTCTAAAGAGAGGATTTTATGAGTCTCTCGGATTCGCCCCAGTGAAACATACCATAGTTTCTAATAGAGCGACAACGAAACACTAAATAAAATCCCTTCGGCGGAAACAGTACTGAGAGGATTATATATAGGCAATGTCTCAGCCTCACAATCCCTCAGAGTATTGCTGTTTTCACGAGGCATACCTAACTTTACTAAATGTCTTATTTCGTTTATTTACTTTGATATTTTCACGATACTTAGATTTTACCTACGCGTTTATTTATTCTAAGACGTTAATATCGCCTTGAGAGACCGAATCTTACATAATCGGCACTCTGTATCTTGTTTAATGAAGAAGCACAGTCCTGAAGAAAACTCAAATTGCTACATTCTAACACGATCTCTGATGCATGCTGCGCATGTGTGTGAATCAATAATTTCGTATCTATAGCCACTACACCTGAAAAACAAGAGATTGGTACGATCACTAGTAAAGGATCGATCAAAGGTTTTAACCCGGCAACACCCATGTTATAGCCTTCTAGTTGCAAGTACAAAGTTGTGTGAACTCGTGCAGGTATGTGTGCTTATGACCTTATCTCTTATCATTACAGTCAATTTTGGTACACATGTTAGGTTCAAAACCCTAAACTCTGTCATCAGATAGACAAAATTCAGTCCAGGTAGAAGTTATATTTTCGATGAAAAAAGCTAATACCACTAGAGACATAAAGTTTATAGTGGGAAGAAAGAGAGACAACCAATCCAAATATATGTTTTTTTTATGTAAAAACAGTACAGTATGTAAAAACAGTACCTCTAAAAATAGAACGTTATGTTTTTTCTTCAAAAACAACAATATTATATTATGTACATAAGTATTTACATGAACATAGCCTTCTGTTTTTCTTTTTTTTAAATGTAGAAGGCTGTGTTTTTTTAAATGTAGAAGGCTGTGTATGACATACATACATATATATACAGTAACTTCTATAATTCTACGCTTTCAGTCCCCAGGACGTCCTAGCTATAATTTTCTCTTAAAGCGAGCTGTGGCCTGTGGGTGAGCCTCACTCATCACTCACTCACTGCAAACGGCAGATGTGAAGCCGTGCTTTATATATCATTTCGGTCTGTCTGCCTATTTATGTCCAATGAGAATTGGGATGGGTCTACGACTCTACGCTGGCTGCTGTCTGCCACGTTTTGAACAGACCTCCTTCATCATAAATAACTCATATTTTGCTTTTGGGAGATGCTGGTAAAAAAAAAGGCCCTTTGCAGAATGTCAAATCAGCAAATAAATTTTTAGAATTATTGTATGTACTTATCGCGTTTTAAACGCGTATTGAGAGTCCTGTTACTGTGTGAATGTATTTATTGCTCTTATTTTTTAAATAAAAATAAAAATAGACATCCTGGGATGATCCACGATTTTACCTTCGTGTCACGTTATTTAAACGTATCAAGTTGGGCCAGATTATTCAACTCGCGGCGGGGGGGGGAGGGACAAAATCTTTGACAATTCACCAATTTTTTATATTTTTAAAAAATAAATAACAGAGAACGTAATTAACGCTTTCATTTATGTCGGCGACATGATTAACTACTAGAGACTCAGTACCAAGTAGAGAGAGAGAGAGAGTTTACCGGTTTTACTAAATACATTATACTACTACATATTTAGACTTGATTTGTTACTATCTTTACCCCAGCTTAGGCCCAGCAGAGAGAGACTAGACATATGATTTATATATGATGTTTACCTCGGAGGCTCGGACTCACTATTAGAGAGAGAGAGACGTATTTAATCGAGGTATTCTTTAAAAAATGTCAAATGTGGGAACGGTTGCCTTCGATTGGGCCTTGTGTAGTGCTCCACACGACAGCTCTCAGTAACTGTCTTAAAAATAAATAGTATTTGTACTACTGATATCTGAGGCTTGAGAGTTGAGGGAAATACATATTTACGATATTTGCAAAGCGGTGTATATTCCAGAAGCATTTTCGATGCACTTGAAGATATAGCATTGTAGGATGAGAGTGTTCTCTCCTGTCCAGCTTCATTTATTTCCAGTTTCTCACACACCCACACGCCAGATGGTACACTTTTCAATATTTCCTGTTAGCCGGTGTACGATGATCGTAAACTGAACCAAGACAAAGTCCTCCGGACTTTAGTCCGTTGTGGAATATTTTTAATTTTTCTTTAGAGGGTCATGACTAAGAACAAGCATTTTCGAAAGAAGTTATGGTAGCACCACTAATTCATGCACGTTCATTGCCTTGTGGTCCTCTATTTACACTCTAATAACTAACTAAGTATTTGCTAAATCATTTCTTGGATTTCTTAGTCTTCTTAGACTTCTTATCTTTCTTTTCCTCCTTAATTTTCTTCTCCTTCTTCACTTTCTTCTGTTCCTGAGGGGCTTCCTGAATTACTTCGGCTGTCTCTGCTTCCCCCACAGGTTCAGCCTCGCTCACTTTTCTTTTCCGTGACTTTTTGTCTTTCTTGTCTTTCTTCTCCTTCTTAACTTTCCTAACCTTCTCGACTGTTCCAGTACCCGCATCCGCATTCGCATTCGTAATACTCGCGTCAAACTGTTCTTGCTTGACAGGAACGATGGCGTTTCTCGTCTCTTCGTCACTTTCTGCACTGCTCACAACACCGGTTGCTTCTAAGTCCTCGATTGTCTTGTTGTCCAACTCTAAGTCTTCTGCCTCGGATTCTTCTTCCTCGGCTGCTTCTGCGTTGGCAATCACCTAAAAAAATGAAAATGAAAATGAAAAAGCCCCTTCAGCAAAGCGATGACCTTTTCAAACTCGAGTGTTGCATATATATTCCTTATCGTACTAAATACCGTTCCACTGGATAAAATAGATATGAAACATAGCACACAGATTATCGGGTTATCGGACTTGTCGCTTAATGAATTAGTGCTTGTCACGAGACACTTATGTTTGGCATAACATAATCCTATAATAGCGGACAGTGAAATACAGCATCAAATAAACACCAGTGATATTGTGAACCCAAGATGAATGGTCTGTGAGTTGCAAAAAGGACACAACGACAACAAACGCTTAAAATCATACCATCCTGCCCGATAACCCAAAAACCATTGCACACAAAGCGGCCTTTGCACGTATATTATAGAGTCTAAAACGATACGTCAGAACCCAGACACAAGTGTACTTTAGAGAATATGGATCGTATACTTACTATTCTTTTCTTGTCGCTTGGTAGGGCGCCGATTATATAGAAGACGTCATTCTTTGTTTCCCAGCTGTTTTAGTCCAACCAGGCAATAACAATGTATCAGTTAAAATGCACATGCATCATACCGTAGAATAGCCGAGCAAGCCTATTCTGGGCATATGAACACGTCATGGGGTTATATCCGCGCGACGATACGCCTATGCAAACATACGAGTGTGCGGATAGTATTGGGAGTTGTTCCTATGTAATGTTCCAATGTATCTCCGCCGATAACCCTCGACAACATACACTATGCAAGTTAGCAAATTGCCGTAATAGAAACGATATCCAATCATCTACAACCAACTGGAAGCCAAGCGTATGTGCCCTTGTTGGGAGATGCTCTACTGCAAGCCTATACTCTCGTTGCGTCGCACATGGCCCACACAACCATGACTGCACTTTGAGGCACGGGGGGGGGGGGGAAGGGCAGCATTCACTTTCTCTGCAGAGCGAGAGAGGGATAGACCATACCTCTGTATTTCAAAGCGAACAGTGCTCCCTTCTTCGAATCGTGCTCCGCTGTCATCCGCCGGATCGTACCATTTGAACTCGTCTTTGTCGTACATCAGATCACTGAGTAGAAATAGCGAATGAGTTGGTCCATTAGACTGTCGTATATCAGATTACAAAGTAGTGAGATAGTGGATGGGTCGGTCTACTAGATTGTCAGATATCAGATCACTGTGTAGAGAGATAGTGAATAAGACGCTCTATTAGATTGTCGTACATCATAATACTTTGTAGAGAGACACTTAATGAGATTGTCCAATAAATTGTCGCACGTCAGCTCACTGTGTAGATAGCTAACAAATGAGATGGTCCAATAAATTATCGTATATCAGATCACTGTATATAGAGATAGTCAATGAGATGTTCCCTAGATAGCCCTTATCCTAAAAATATCGGGCGTGTGCAACTGTTTGTCGTACGAATGTTTAGCTATACCTTCCGTAGAAGTTGTTAGACGTCTGTGGCCATGTGTCTTCAGGTGTGTGCGCCCGCCCATACGAGAAATAAACACTATTTGCTATATGTTCACATCTTACAGCACTACACAAGCAAACAGTTGCTACAGTTCTTGCGCGCGGCTGCAAGATTCTTGGAGGCTGCAGAGTTCGCGTACAATGAAAATACCGAATGCACGAACAAGTTAAAGTCAACAGATTGCGCAGTGGGATATGTATAGAGAGAGCATAACTTTGCTACTACGTACCTGTGTATGAAGTTTTTAGGAATCGACACATTGAACGATCCAAACACCAGGATACCCACGTGGTCCTCGGAAACTTTGTGAACAATCCCCACTGTACATATGAACAAGGCCGGTAAAGGTTAGAGACGGTGTGTTACACGGAATAGACAACACCATGCAAGCAGTGCATACAAAAACTACTGCTGTCAACAGATAACAACTGTCGAGGTTCTCCATCTCCTGTCATTGCCAGCGCATATGTAGCCTGAGAGGCCAAAGGGAACGCTTGAGACAAGGCGCTCTAGATTCACACAAGATGAGAACCGAACGAGAAGTGGGCATCAGCAGTGAATACGTCCACATACACCGAGCCCGTGGAAGCTTTATCGAATATCAGAGAACCAAAACAACCCAAAACAATCTAAAGACGTCTAATTGTAGCGTCACAACAACTCGTAAGACAACGCTACCACGGTACACGCCCGGTAGTCAGCTAAACTAATGAAACGCAGCGATGCATACATTAATGCAATCGAAATTAGCAAACTATGGATTGAGTATATGCTGTGGTCACTATAAAAGCCCTGTACGTTTTAAAAGCACACACATATTCGTAGTGCGCCACAGTACGAATAAGAACTACGTATTGCACTCAACAGGTACTTAAACAAGTCATCTCTGTAACCACTAATGTCGCTAGCATCGCATTTGTATAGCAGTAACTTCCCTAGCCACTACAAGTAAAACATCAAGGACATTGCGTGCCTAGTGAAGACATGCGATGATAAAATCAGTACACCTTACTTTCTCCGACCGGCACGCTTGAGATATAGACGTGATCCCATTCTAACACGCCAGAGCCAATGAAGCACACCACTCACCAAGTATACAACCTCACGATTTCACCGAAACAATCAAAAGCACCAAGACAAGCGTCACTTTCTCTACACCAACCTCATACTCCATTTACCAGAATTAAGACAGTCTTACACTCATTCAACTGTACAATGGTGATTAACCAACCTTATACTCAATTTACCAACATTCAGACGGCCAGACACACATGTATCCGACAATATCACCCTTATGTTTAACCAACCTTATACTCTATTTACCAACATTAAGACAGTCATACACACATGTAACCGACAATATCACACTTATGTTTACCCATTTCAGAACCGATGATGGGGGCGAACAGTAGCAGTGACGCGTCCACGTCGAAATGGCCGAAGGGAGAGTCACTGATAGTGCGTGCTGAAGTTTGTTGTGCTCGTAATGTGTCATAACATAATAAGACTCCGCCAAGGACATCATTGTACCTGCGGCATATACACTGTCTGAGTTAGTTTATGCTATATGCTCTTACCAGTAAACGTGCACTGTGAGTCAAATCCCGAGAAGCAATATAAATTAATCACTAGATGCGATTTGGTGCACGGGTCAGAATGATATATACACAAGCATGTGTATACATACACAAAAATATATACTTAAAACTACAACAAAAAATACAAATACAGATATAGATACAGATACAGATACAGAAACAATATATATATATATATATATACATACATATAAATATAAATATATATATATGCATATACATTTAATATATAAATATATATATATGCATATA